CTGATTATTGTGCCATTATTTTCCAGCATGGACAGAGAATGAGAAGCATATTTCCCATTAATTTTATGGATTTTGTTCCAGACTGCTTTTGAGCTAGTGGAAGATGTTATGCTAGAAACATACTTCCTCCAAGAATCCCTTTGGCTTTGCCTTCTTATTCTTCTGGCATTTGCCTTTGCTTTTTTAAAAGCAATCAAATTTCTAGCAGTGGGGTATCTTCTGAAAATCCCCCATGCTTTCTTTTGTGTTTTAAATGCTGCCTCGCAATTCTGGTTCCACCATGGTTTTGGATGCTTTGGGTATCTTGTTGACGTCTTTCCCATTGTTTTTTCGGCTGCCTGAATAATACTGGAAGTGACAACTTCAATTGTATCATTGATATCAGCAGTATTGACCATTTCCTCAGTGATGTTAGCCAAAGAGGAAAATGCAGGCCAATCTGCCGTTTCGAGTTTCCAGCATGGGGGACAGGCTGTTTCACAGCTTTCTCTGCCTTGATATTTTAGAAATATTGGGAAGTGATCACTAGAGAGTGGATTAGATCCAACCTCCCATGAAAATGCTGAAAACAGGCTTGGGCTTGCTAATGAAAGATCAATGGCAGTGAATATTCTTGTTGGGGCATGGAAGTATGTCACTTCTGTATTAAATAAATATAGTTGTTGATTGCCTATGAATCTTTCAATGGTCCTGCCTCGACGGTTAATGTCTGGACTGCCCCACATAGAATTGTGACCATTAAAATCACGAAGTAAAAGGAATGGTGTTGGCAGCTGTTCAACCAACGCATCCAGTTCATTCTCATTGACTCTGACATCTGGTGGCAAGTATATAGAACAAACTGTGACAGTTACGCCAATTGAAATTTTGACTGCCACAGCTTGCAGCTCTGTTGTTATTTGTACCGGTAAGGATGGAATGCGATTTGAAACCAGAATAGCCACACCGCTACTGACACAGTTGTGGCTATCATCATCCTTGTGGTAGAGATTGAATCCTTTTAAAGTAATTCTTTCTCCAGGTTTCAGATGGGTTTCCTGGAGTGCCACGCAGAGAGTTGAGGTAGATGATGTCAAGTGTTTAATGTCAGAGAAGTTGTTGCAGAAACCACGACAGCTCCATTGGATTTATAATCCATTATGTGTTTGAGGTAGCATTTTTAACAAGGTTATCTCTCTTTAATTTCACAGCTGATTTGCCTTTTGGAGGTGAAGTTGGTGGTGTCACCCCCTTATTTTTCTCTTCATCAGAGAAGTCAGAGAACTCACTCATAGACTGAGCCTCTGAATTTTTAGGTTTAGAGAGAGCTGCTTTCACTCTGTTTGTTTAGTGTACTAGCTTTTTTAGAACACACATTCCTGGTTGTTATCCCTGTTTTAGGTAGGGGCGTTTTGCTTTTCTTGTTCTCCTTTTTTGCTGTTTGGGTAGATTGTATCAACAAACATTTTGCATGGCGTGTTAGCGATTCATTTGGTGAAACAGAAATGTCTATCTGAACTCCACATATCTTTGTGGATTTTAGAACAGCAGCAAATGTCTTCTGTCTCACTGGTGCACTTAAAGTGACCATGCGACGTGCCTCCGGGTAAGGTATATTATTTATAGTCTTCACCCGCTGTATCTCTTTTTCTGTTTGCCATGTAGGACATTTTCGGGAGTAGGCAGGGTGAGCTTCTTTGCAGTTGACGCAGCATGGAGTAGTTGTACATTCAGTACTGTCATGATCTTCTTTTCCACACTGGGCGCATGCACTTTTCCCACGGCAGGATGTTTGTGAGTGTCCAAACCGCTGGTATTTAAAGCAACGCAGCGGATTTGGAATGTATGGGCGAACTTGACAACGGAGATATCCTGCTGCAACGGAAGATGGCAATGTTGGCTTGTTGAACATGATTATAAGATGTTTTGTAGGTATCAACTTGCCATCGCGCCTGATAGAGATGCGTCTGACGGCAGTGACACCTTGGTCTGAAAGGCCTATCTGGATATCTGATTCACTTTCAGACATCAAATCTGCTTCAGATATCACACCACGTGATGAGTTTAAACTCACGTGTGGTGTGATAATGACTTCTATATCTTCCAAGGTCTTTGTTGACAAAAGTTTTGCCGATTGTTGGGGTGAGGATGTTTGTAAAAGCAGGTCTCCTGACCTCAACTTTTGAATTTTTTTCAAATTTCCGATGGTGGACTGGAACAATTTTTGTATTAGAAAAGGGGAACGTTCAGAGGTGTTTCATTGATAGCATGAGCTATAAAGTAAGTTGGCTGGTTGGATAAACTTTCATCCTTTGGTGGTATTATATCTGTACATTGATGTTTGGTGGTTTTTGAATCCATATTGTAAATTTTAATATTCAGCTCCTAGTGACCCCACCCACCACGGGGCCCAACAAGGGGATGCCGTCACATGGGAGACTCCCATAGACCGTCACACCAGGGTTTCCCAGGAGCTATACCCTCAAAATGCAGTCAAGAAGAGCACATCTTGTTTGACATGTCCGCCCGGTCTGCATCAATCAGTTGACTCCAGGCCGAGGTCAAGAATGACTCAACGACCAGCCGATTGACTCAAACGGAGCCTGATTTGAGCCTCCCGTTTATCCGAAGCAGGGGCCAAAGCAGTGTGTTGGGGACGTTATGTTGCCCCTCAACTACCAGGATCCCCCGTTCTGGCATACGGGACACCACGCACGGCAAACACGTGGGTGGGCATTCAGATCCCAGGGATGGTAAAGAGGAGTTTCTAAACCATCTCTGGGAGGTCCCCTCACCACGGACAGGAACCTACATCGAGGGGTATTTTTTAAATCCTTTATAATTTTGATTATTTAATTGCTCCTTCCTCGGCATGTTGTGAAATTTCTGATAGTTGGATAATAAACCGTTTCATTGTAATTTGTCTTTTTAAATCATTTTGAGTCGATATTAAAATTTGGAAAAGGGGATCCTAGATTGGTAAAATAGGCGAATTTCCTCCTACAACTTCAGTTGTTGTTCAGAATACGGTTAAGGTTTTAGCAAAGTTCGAGCGAATACATAATTAACAAAAAATAGCTGAAATAAAGTAATTACACAAAAATTATTACAAATATCGTAAATAACAGTTCACAAATGCATATTTGTGAACTGTTATTCACAAAAAATATATACAGATATTTTTTGAAGGGGGAGAAATGGTCTTTACAATTTGAAATCGATCTAACAGTGCTCGAATGCTTGTGTAAACGCACGCCATCTATCGTAGGATAAATGTACTTCGTGGGAGTGTATTAAAAAACTTTTCAAAAGTTTTATGGCAATCGTACTATGCCACAAACCTTCGCCGGAGTATATTAAACAACTTCCCAAAGTTTCACGGCAATCGGATAAACGGTGTGGTAATGCATAAAGGACAGACACACACACACACATTCATTTTTATATATATAGATATGGATTAAAATCAACATATAATAACGCATGATAATGCGATAAATAACTAATAATTCTGCTCTGCTTTTAAATGGACAAATCTCTTTCATGTCTTAAATAAAATTGTATAATATTTATTTACATCGAGACATTAGACATCTTATATTGCATTTAATTAATGTTTAACATCATAATATATATCAAGATAGAATTATTGTCGTTAGCCAGCGATTTTATCTTTGTTGTTTCATATAGTCAATAATAATAATAAGTCGTTTCTAATTACTATAAAAATACTATATTATATTATGATCTATCGCGTGATGTCTCCAAAGTTCAGCGAATTCTTGGCAGAATAAAAATAAGTTATCAAGAAACACGTCAGATATGAGTATCACGTGATTACTTCGTACCCCAAAATGTCACGTGACACACTTCGTACGCCGATGTGCTACTCCGCGACGAAATCAAGTTCCCACTTGGAGTCCGAATGATGCACATTCGGTAAATATTCATACAATCTTTTCTTTATAGCGTATTTTATATGGATTATTCCAAAAAATTACACGTGTTTTGACAAAGTTCGAGTCACATTAATCTAGAATTAATTTATTTTGCAGAAGGATACTTGGTTAAACCTTTCTATAAATGTACCTTCAAAATTTCAGGTGTTCATTCTAAGTTGGTCCACGTTACTGTGAGATTATAAAAAGGGAGTGCAACGCTCGATTCATGTTATATCGAAATGGATATCGCCAGTACTTCATCCAGAAAAAAATTTATCATCGCTGGAAAGTATAAAGTCATTCGTAAGATCGGCAGTGGTTCCTTCGGAGATGTGTATCTTGGGATGGACACGACAACTAAAGAAGGAGTTGCTATAAAATTGGAGTCAAGAGAGGTAAAGCGTTATCAACTACTCTACGAGAGTAAATTGTATAAATTGTTGTTTCTTTGCAGACACACTAAGGCGACATTTTTCAACACTTGGCAAATTATTCACCATTTATTCAGTTGGGACGCTTTTTACATTTAGCGTTTCGGGCATTGGCCCCTCTTCAGCCAACTAAACGCAAAAATAAAACATGAGAAAATTGTACAAAAATACGCGAGTAAAACATCACTTAGATAAAACGTTTTTTTTAAAAAATTTTCTTAAAAAACATACCATAAAGCACAAATCACGAGCGTACAGGTGTCGTACAGGGTGGACAGTTTCACATTCTATATATCAATTGGAGAACAAACAGGGTCGAGGACAACAGCTTGACTGCTGGATTTTGAATATGGCATTCTTATAATTTGTACAAAAATTCAAATAAGTGAATTGAAAATTACAACATATCTTAACAATATTTGTTTTACCTGTGGCCAATATTCGTATATTGCACCTAAATTCACACAATAACTGTTGTCACACTTTTTTTCGGTCAAGTTTCACAGAGTCATCTTAGCGATATTATTTGGACTGTCAATTTACATAGAACATATTTAAAGCCATTACATTAAATTGTACAAACCAATAATTAATATTTGTATTACTTACAATTCATAAAGACATCAAAATTCACACGTTTTCAGTTGTAGCTTTAAGCTAACCCACTCTCGTGTACAATTTTCGCAACCACGCTATTTGGTATACTAATTTACATATTTAAGAAAGCTGATTTTTGAACCAATTTCAGTATGTAATAGAAAGTGGTGTATAAACAGGAATTATTAACTTAATCTTAACATAATTTATTACTTTACCAATATTTATATATTCATGAACATTAAACTTAGGTGATTTTCGTCGTAATTACAACCAATCAGCATCAACGTATTTACAATATTTTTATCCAGTTCTCACTAATTTTAATGCTTAAATTTTTATTTATGCAATTGTTATTTTTGTTTTTAATAAATTCGACACTCTCTTTGTTTTTTCTGTTGTATGTTTTCTTCTCCTCGTGTAGAATCTGTATATTAGCGTTATCTATATTGCAGTCGTTTACTACACAATGATCATGAAATACAGAGTTTAATCGATGGTACTTTAAATCTGACATATGTTCTTTTACTCTCAGTTTAAGTTTTCGTTTTGTTTCTCCTATATAAAAGCTGGTGTTTTTACAGGTACATGGTATTTTATATACTATATTTTTCGTCTCTTCTTTATCTATTTTTTGTTTTTTAACACACTGTTTGGCCTTTAGTCTAGAGAATAGATTTTCATACTTGGGAGCAAGTTTCATATTGTTTTTTTCTTCATTTCTGTATCTATTTGCTCATACATATTTTTTATATATGGGAAACCTACATATTTATATTTTGTTTTTCCATCGATTATTCTGGTTTTTGTATCTTTTGTTCCGGTAGTGTTATATATTATTTGTTGCCATTTATTAATTAATCTCATTGGATATCCATTTATATTGAATTTTTTTCTTTAAATTATATATATATATGTATATTTTTAGTAATTTCATTGCTGGTTCTATTTTGTATTTTCGTATACTCCATATGAAAAACATTCTTTTTAATATACATAGGTATATTAGAGTTGTATCTTATTGTAGTTTCAATTGAACACGGTTTCTTATAAGGTTCAACTTCTAGCTTGTTTTCTTTCCTTGTAATTACGACATCAAGGTATCGAATACTGTTATGAACATCATTTTCTTCTTCTATTGTAAATTGTATTTTCGTGTCTATGTTATTTATTATTTCTTTTATTTCCTTAATATTAATTTCTGTATTGTTGTATATAATTAAAACATCATCGACGTATCTTTTATAATATTTTATACCGTGTATATTTCTAATTCTTTCGTCTATTTCGGTCATTATAATTTCTGCAAGTTTTGGTCCGATGACTGACCCCATACTAATACCATTCTCTTGTGTATAATATTTTCCTTCTAATTCAAAATAATTACTCTTATATGAAAATTCTAACAGTTCTATAATATAAGGTTCTACATCTATTTTCATAAGATCTAGAATCAATTTATTTTGTGGAAGGATACTTGGTAACAGTGATGCCAGATTGGGCTACAAGTAGCGGTTTGGGCTACTTTTTAAGTTCCCTCGCTACAAAAATTTCAAATTGGGCGACACGCTACTTTTTGGGCTAGTGATAATTATTTTCAAGCTACAAATCTTAAAAATACGCTACTTTTTTTATTTTCATATATAAAATCGCAAAACGCTTATTGTATTATACAAAAGTAATAAAGTTTTATTTAATTTCATTACACTTAAGTATATAAATAAAGTTACAACGTTTAACAAAGATTAAGATACTTTGCTTTCGTTTTCCATCAGTCGTTCGCTCCAGTAGACAATCCACAACTACACAAGCACGGAGGCGACATTGCTTGTGAAATTGTGGATTGTCTACTACAAGCATTATCCTGTTGGAATTGCCAATTTTTTCTCCCAATAAGTGATCCAACTGTTTTGATACAACAGTTCTTGATACAATGGAAAAGAAAAGCCACAGTCGCTAAGTCTCTAAGTTCAAAAAATGAATCGCTTCGCCTGCGAATGACTCGCTTTGATTTAGAGAAAATTAATGCAGATACACCGAATGTCCATATACAGGGTGTATCAGAATGACGTTTTAAAAATTTGGGGGATTGTAAAGGATGAAATTTTGAACGTTTTGGTATAAGGAACCTATAATCGGAAATTTGAACTAAAGTGTCTACAGCGGTAGGAAGTGCTTGACCGCCCTTCACTTTGGTAGCTACCCTTCCATCCATTGACGTCATGTTATTGCTGCGGATGAAAGACTGTAAACACACAACTACAGTGGTCTAACTGA